GTGGGGCACGCATGGGTAAGGGCTTACCCAGCGTGTTGTGGCGGTTTGTTGGTCTTTGGAGGCGGGTATTATCTTGAAGGTACAGAGAATGGTGTGGGACCCATCGGTGGTATGGTGTGCCCGGGGACATTCCAGTTAACCAAGGTTTAACTGGAAGGTGGTGGTGCTGCACTGCGGACTGTAAGGTTGTCTCCGAGCTGGTTGGTTGCGGCTGGAGGCTTGGTGTTATATGGGGTCCGCAGGTGCATTTCAGATCATTTTTGGATGGTGCCTTCGAAGACCAACAACAAATCTGTATGTTTTTCTGTTATAAGGAATGGTTTGGTGTTTAAAACGTGTTGGTTAATAAAAGGCCGCGTTGGCCATTTTACTCCAAATTGGTGTCATGTTTTTCTTTAAGTAGGAGTTATAGGTAGGGGGATCTGGATGAACCGATCTCTGGTGCACTAGTCATGAGGAAATAAAGCCGTTTTATAACCATGGCATGTGTGAGCAGTAAATCATTTAAGGGACAATTTTGTGTAAACAAAAATATATATTTATTTTTGTCATTTTTCCAAAAACTTGTGGTAAAAAAAATAAATTCTTCTATTGATTCAACATTCCTCTCAGCAAATAGTTTGGGGTGACTACTTTCCAAAAAGGGGTCATTTTTGGGGGGGGTGGGGGCAATTTATGCCCAGCATTAGAAGTTTATACCACACATCATTCACTCTTCTAACCACCTGAAGACCAAGCCTTTTTGTTCACATGAAAAAAATCAGTATTTTTTGCTAGGAAATTAATTTAAACCCCCAAACATTATATATTTTTTTAAAGCAGACACTCTAGTGAATAAAATGGTGGGTACTACAATTTTTTATGGCACATAGTACTCACGCAGCGATTTTTCAAAAGCAAAGTTTTAAAAACAAATACACTTTTTTTACTTTTAATGCACAAAAACACACAATATATTGGCCAATTGTTTGGTAAAATATAAAAGATAATGGTATGCCGAGTAAATAGATACCAAACATGACATGCTTTAAAACTGCGCATGCCCCGTGCAATGGCGACAAACTGCAAACATTTTTAATATCCATAGGCAGCGCTTTAAAAGCCTTTAAAAGCCACCATTTTAGATTTACAGAGGAGGTCTAGTGTTAGAATTACTGCCCTTGATCTGACGTTCATGGCAATACCTCACATGCATGGTGCAACCGCTGTTTACAAACCACCACAGGGTCAAGGCTTGTGCAAACAGGTGTGCGCACATGGAAGGGGCAATTTTTTTTTTTTTTTTTAGTTATTTTGATTTTTTTTTTAATTATTTTTACATTGTACCTTTTTTTAATCACTTTTAATGCTATAACAGGGAATGCAAATAACCCCTATTACTTCAATGGGCATTGTCATATTCTTTTTTGAGAAATCTGGGGTCTATCAGACTCTAGATATCTCCTCTGCCCTTACATTATCTAATCAAACCAAAATCGGTGTGATCAGATGCTTTCCCAATTTACAAATGGTGCTGTTTATATCCTGCGAAACTGAAGTGATGAAATGCTTGTAGCTTCCGAATTCTTAGACTATAGAGATGATTGGCACCATTTTGGTCTCCAATCAGCTCTATGGTCAGCTGGCAGAAACACCGGCTGCATTCTCAGGTTCCCCTGATGGCACGGGACTGCCCGAGAAGGCCGTGGAAGGCAGCGGGGGAGGGGGGACATCATCTCCCACTGCTTGTAAAAGCAATCTTGCAGCTAATTAGGCACTAGGATTGCTTTTACATGAAAGCCGATCACCGGCTGAAAAAAAACCACACCAGGATGATGCCTGCAGCTGTGTAGGCATCATCCTGGTATAACCATTCAAATCCAGTGATGTACCAGTACATCGCTGGTCCTTGTTGGTTATATATGCTATGTTCTTTTTTTTTTTTTGTATGCAGCCAGTGGACTGAATGAAAAAATGAGAAGAAATCTCTGCCAGAAAAAGTGTGTGGTATTCCCACCATTAGAATATACTGCCCTGCATCCACCCACTTCTAATGGTGGCTGGGCACACATTAGGTCACACTTTGCCACAAGTGCCAGTTCAAGATTGAAAATAAATGTCTAAATAGTGGCACGCTTGAATAAAAGTTGTCCACGTATAAGTGGTACCTCATATGCAGAAATGATGACACCAAGTCCCAAACTATCTTGCCACTACTCCCCATGTAGTCTGGGCATCCAGGGGGCTCCACCGGACTATCTTTTCCCTCGTAAATCCGAAACTTATATGTATAGCCTGTTGTCCCTCTCACAGGTCTTCTACATCTTGACCCCATATAGACATCTGCAAATTGTAGGTTTAAGGTGATTTTGCGAGGGGCTGAATTTTGTGGAGGCCGGTCAAAATTCAGGGTTACCCGAGGATGACAGAGTGTATTGTCGCTGAAATGCATAAAACACATTATACTCTCATATCTATGCCTGGCCATGGCAGCAGAGAACACGGGCATATGATGAATCGGGTCTGCGGACCAATACAACCACAATTCATTTCTTTTAGTAATGCCCTTGTTGAGGGTTAGGCCCAAAAAAAATGTAAATTTGAAAACCGTAATGAGTTTCCATGCGAATGGTCTGGCAAGGTTTGAATTTGGGTTGGCGGCAATAAATTGTTGTTGCCATATAAACTGCTTTGATCCACAATCAACACATACAGATATTTCGTGAAAAACAGCTCCAAAAATCAAGGAGGTATGTGAAAGACCAGGGTGTACTAGACCGCTGGTACTCGCCAGTTCACCAAAAGGTAGAGCGGCACTAGTACTGGCACTCTGCTGCATATGAAGTCATCAAAATTTACCAGCAAGTGCTAACAGGCCTGATTCTGCCAACACTGCAGTTTTTGTGTGCAATGTATCAAGTGACAGTGACCTACTGACACTGCACTTGCTGGGGGAGAAGGGGGGATATGCGTAGCGGCTAAACGCAAGTGCTGGCAGGTGCCAGGGCTGATCCCGCTAACACTGCGTTTTTGGGGACGCTATACTAATGTGAACACTGGTATAGTGCTGATCTGATCAAAGATATTGACCCGTTCAGACACTTATATACTAGCAATGGAGGCTTATTGTACATGAACGTGCTCCTGGCAATCAAGGGGTTAAATGTGATGACTGGTGTACTGACGGGCAATCTGACGCTATCTGGGAGGGGGTGTGAAAACCACGGGAGCGCGAATCACGTATTATTATATATATATACAAATTTTTAGCTGGGGTGCCCAAACTTTCGATCCCCACTGTATATATATGTGATTTTGCGTACCCATGCCGCCCTGTAGAAGTATTTCTGCTGTAGGGTGGTCAGGAAGCGGTTACAGAAGAGGTTTGTTTTACGGCGCTGCGTTACTTTAACTGACAATTGCAACAGTCATGCAATACTGCACCCAAATTAAATTTACATCTTTTTTCCCACAAATTGAGCTTTCTTTCGGTGATATTTAATCGCCTGTGCAGTTTTAATTTTTTGCGCTATAAAAAAAAAAGGCTGGCAATTTTGAGAAAAAAAAAAACAATATTTTGGACTTTTTTGCTATAAAACATGTCCAGTAAAAAAAATTAAAAAATCAAATTTGTCACACATTTCATCCAAAATGCATTCTGCGACATGTCTCTGCTAAAAAAAATCACAATACGTGTAAATTAATTGGTTTACATGAAAGTTATAGCGTTTACAAATGGCGGGAAAAATACTGGGATTTTTAATTTTTTTTATACTAATAATGGCGGCGATCAGTGACTTATGGCGGCGATCAGTGACTCATGGCAGGACTGCGGGACTGCGGCGGACATTTTGACACTGGGGTGGAAATGACTTGGGGTCACTAACATCCCCAGTGACACCAATACAGTGATCAGTGAAAAAAAAAAACCCACTGACACTGTACTAATGGCACTGGGGAGGAAGGGGTTAACATTTTTAGTGTTAACTGTGTGAGGGAGTGTTTTTACTAGGGGGCGGGGGGTGTGTGCTGGACGGGGACAGACTGATCGAGAGAGAGAAACTCTTCTCTCCCTCTTCAGCTTGTCACGAGCTGACAGGCAACTGACAGATAGCAGGGCTGTGTATAAACAATGCAGCCCTGCTCTCTGTCAGCGATCACCGCTAATCGCGGGGAAAACGTCCAGTAATGACCGGCCGTGACCCGGCGGCGGCGGAGACCCGCTGCTGACACCCGCGGGAACAGCTAGGGCGGGCGCGCGCCTCGCACGTGCCCCCTACCTGTTTTGCAAAACCACGTTTTTAAAACGTGGTTTTGCCCAGCCGTGCCGCCCTGCAAACCGTTTTTATGCAGTGGCTGGGGCTGAAGAAGATAATAAAACACAGACCTGACCAGAGAGGTGAGGAGGATTCTGGGAGGTCACATGACATCACTCTGGTCTAGTCTGGCCAATATAGACCATGTTCTTCTTGTAGACATGTAGATGATGTCAGATGATTGATATCAGTTTCTCTTTCTCCTGATCTGTAGGATTATGTTGTAGTGAAGAAGTCTAGTGGGGAGCCAATCTCAGGAGGATGGAGCAGGACCCAGAGCCCCACCATGGTGCCTCCCCCTCGTTTCTCCCATACCTGAGAGGAACAAAGAGCAGAAGATCCTGGAACCATGATAGTCCATCTGCTGACAGGAGAGGTGAGCGGTGCTGGGAATTCTGGGACATTCTCCAGAACAGACAAGGGATGTGTGTCTGGATGGTGACTGTATCATTGTGTGTGTCAGGTTCCTATAAGGTGTCAGGGTGTCACTGTCTATTTCTCCATGAGGAGGAGTGGGAGTATTTAGAAGGACACAAGGACCTCTACAAGGATGTCATGATGGACAATCAGCCGCCCCTCACATCACAGGGTAAGAGGAGACTTTATTGGAAAGGAGAGAGCAGTACGCAGGCTCCACCTAGATCCCCCATCATCTGATAAACACATAGAAACAATGTATTCAGTCAGTGTGTGTGTTTCCTACAGATGGATCCAGTCATGGGAACCCAAAAGAGAGATGTCCCCGTCCTCTGTATTCCCGGGACTCCACACAGTAAGGTCACACCATCCCTCACCATCATCAAGTAGCAGAAATGGAGGAGAAACCCTACAACTCTATAACATTCTATATATTTCTATGCAGTGATGGATATTTTTGTTATTTATAGGATAACGGTGAAGAACCAATTGATGTAAAAGTTGAGGTTCAAGAGGAAGTAGAAGAGGCGTATGTGAGGGATGATCAGCAGTCTATGGAGGAGGATGGGAATAAGGAGGACATTCATAGAGGAGGACACTCCTACAGAGATCAGCACAGGTGACCAAAATATATTCTTCTCTTATCTCTGCTCTGTTACCGCCCCCCCCAGCCCCCATTGGTTCCTGCTCCTCTGACAAGGCTGAGTAACAAAAGCCTAGGCCTATGGTCCCTTGTTCTATGGTGAAGGGTCTTCAAGTCTGAACTAGGACCCTCTTGTCTACCAGAGATCACATGACCCAGTGCCTAGGCTTGTGGTCGAGTGAAGAGTATGCCCCTCCCAGCCCCCATTGGTTCCTTCTCCTCTGACAAGGCGGTGTAAATGTAGAAGTGATCTGGGAGGACCAAAGGTTCTTTGAAAAGGGGAGGAGTCCCAGCTGGTTGGGGCATCCACAGAGAACATCTGCTCCCTCCTATCTCCCTGTTCCCGATGGAATCTTGATGGAAGTGGACTAACCCTCTCCTATCTATTGATGATGTTTTTTCTATTTTTCCAGGACCCCGCCATGGAGAAACCCTCAAAGGATCGTCTCACTTTACCTCCAGGTTGTAAAATGGAAGATGAGGAAATCCCAGGAGATTGTGCCGGAGAAAAGACAATGAGCTCCACTATGGATGGTGGACTTCCCAGTGTGGAGAGACCATGGACTCCCTCTGACTCTGAGCACCCTCGTACTGTGGGGGATGGGGGCCGGGGTTCCATGTGTCGGAGAAAAGACAATGAGCTCCACTATGGATGGTGGACTTCCCAGTGTGGAGAGACCATGGAGTCCCTCTGACTCTGAGCAACCTCAGACTGTGGGGGATGGGGCCAGGATCCGGGGGGAGAAGACGTTTCCCTGTCCTAAGTGCGGGAAATGTTTTACTTCTGAATCAACTCTTACTGCACATCAGAGATCTCACTCGGGGGAGAAGCTTCATTCCTGCCCATTGTGCGGAGAATGTTTTCTACGTAAATATCATCTTAGTGTCCATCAGAGGTTGCACACCGGTAAGATGCTTCATTGCTGTCCTGAGTGCGGGAAATGTTTTCTTACGCAATCAGAACTTGTGACACATCACAGATCTCACAAGGGTGAAAAGCCGTATTCCTGCCCTGAGTGCGGGAAAAGTTTTTCCTGGAAGTCCTATCTTTCTGTACACCAGAGACTGCACACGGGTGTGAAGCCGTATTCCTGTCCTGAGTGCGGGAAGTGTTTTGTTCGTAAACAATTTTCTCACAACACATCAGAGGTCTCACACTAGGGAGAAGCCATTTTCCTGTCCTGAGTGCGGGAAATGTTTTTGTACATAAACAACTCCTCCAGACACATCCGAGATCTCACACGGGGGAAAAGCCATATTCTTGTCCAGAGTGCGGGAAATGTGTTTTTAACAGATATCAGAACTTGTCACACATAAAACATCCCACACGGGGGAGAAGCCATATGCTTGTTCAGAGTGCGGGAAATGTTTTTTCACAGAAGCCCCATCTTACTGAACATCTGAAATGCCATACAGGTGTGAAGCCGTATTCCTGAGCTGAGTGCGGGAAACCGTTTGCACGAAAATCACAACTTGCTAGACATCAAAGATCTCACACAGGCGAGAAGCCTTACCGCTGCTCTCAGTGCGGGAAATGTTTTTCACAGAAGTCCCACCTTACCGAACATCAGATATGCCACTCAAGAGAAAAGCTTTTTCCCTGCCCCGAGTGTGAGAAATGTTATCCATGGAAGTCCGAACTTGCCAAACATCAAAAATTTCACACGGGTGAGAAGTCGTGATTCTGTCCTTAGTGTGGGAAATGTTTTTCACAGAAGCCTTTGTAACGGAACCGGACCCCGACTGCACTAGGGTATTTCCGTTAGACTCCCGATTCCCCATCTGAACACAGATCCCCAAACACCACCACTGACCATACAGGACGAGACAGCACCAGACTTATATTAAAAACAGGACGTGGACTGCTTTATTTTACCACAGACACAAGATATATACAGTTGCAAGAAAAAGTATGGGAACCCCTTGGGATTACGTGGAGTTTTGCATGAATTGGGCATAAAATGTGCTCTGAACGTCATCTAAGTCACAACAATAGAAGAACACAGTCTGCTGAACATAATACTACACAAACATTAGATGTTGCCATGGTTTAATTGCACATAACATGTAAACATTCACAGTGCAGGGAGGAAAAAGTATGTGAGGCCCTAGCTTAATGACTTCTCCCAGAGCTAATTGGAGCCAGGAGTGAGCCAACCTTGACTCCAATCAGTGTGATGATATTGGATGTGTTGCTGACAGCTGTCCTGCCCTTAAAAATTACACACCTGTTTTGGGTTTACTGGGTTCAAGAAGCACTGTCTGATGTGAACCATGCCTCGCAGAAAAGAGCTCTCAAGACCTACGATCAAGAATTGTTGACTTGCATGAAGCTGGAAAGGGTTACAAAAGTATCTCCAAAAGCCTTGATGTTCATGTGTCAATGGTAAGACAGACTGTCTACAAATGGAGAAAGTTTAGCACTGTTGCTACTCTCCCTAGGCGTGGTCGTCCTGTAAAAATGACTGCAAGAGCACAGCGCAGAATGCTGCATGAGGTAAAGAAGAATCCCATCTAAAGACCTACAGAAATCTCTGGCACATGCTAACATTTTTGTTGACACATCTACAATAAGGAAAACATTAAACAAGAATGGAGTACATGGGAGGACACCACGGAGGAAGCCATTGCTGTCCATCAAGAATATTGCAGCACGTTTGAAGTTTGCAAAAGAGCACCTGGATGTTCCACAGCACTACTGGCAAAATATACTGTGGACAGATGAAACCAAGATTGAGTTGTTTGGGAAGAACACACAACACTATGGAGAAAAAAAGGCACAGCACACCAACATCAAAACCTCATCCCCACTGTAAAACATGGCGGAGGGAGAATCATGGTTTGGGGCTGCTTTTCTGCCTCAGGGCCTGGACGGATTGTTGTCATTGATGGGAAAATGAATTCCAGAGTTTATCAAGACATTTTGCAGGAAAACGTACGACCATCTGTCCACCAACTGAAGCTCCGCAGAGGATGGGTGATGCAACAGGACAATGACCCAAAGCATACAAGTAATTCAACAAAACAATGGCTGCAACAGCACAGAATACGCCTTCTGGAGTGGCCCAGTCAGAGTCCTGACCTCAACCCGATTGAAATGCTGTGGCATGACCTTAAGAGAGCGATTCACACTAGACATCACAAGAATATTGCTACACTGAAACAGTTTTGTGAAGAGGAGTGGTCCAAAATTACTCCAGATCGTTGTGCAGGTCTGATCTGCAACTACAGGAAACGTTTGGTTGAGGTTATTGCTGCCAAAGGAGGGTCAACCAGTTATTAAGTCCAAAGGTTCACATACTTTTTCCTCCCTGCACATGTTATGTGCAATTAAACCATGGCAACATCTAATGTTTGTGTAGTATTATGTTCAGCAGACTGTGTTCTTTTATTGTTGTGACTTAGACGATGTTCAGAGCACATTTTATGCCCAATTCATGCAAAACTCCACGTAATCCCAAGGGGTTCACATACTTTTTCTTGCAACTGTACACAGGGTGGGGAATTACACCCAAACAGGAAAACACATCAGCAGGCCGTCCCATCAGGGGGCAGGGCTACTGGAAAAAACCCCCCACCAAGCCAGTACAAACACATATATCCCATAATAGTTTGCTCCCAAGCCAGACACACAATAGAGCAATGGGATGCAACCACATAACATCAAACAATCCACAACCCCCCACCCCAATATTAGGACAGATCACCCTGTACCCCTAACAGGCACAGGGGGACTTACACATAAGAGGGATATGGGGAGCTGAGACGGGTCTCCCCACCTCTCCAAAGTGAGCTGTGTTCCATGGGCCCCCCACCCAAAGTCACTCCCATCACAACTTGTCTTACCAAACATCAGGTGACCCTCAGGGTGTATTAGTGTCCCGAGTATGGGAAATGTTTTACATTGAAGTCTTAGAGAAGGGAAACCACACCACCCTAGAAGCTTCCATGGAGGACATCATGGCTAGAGAGAAGGAGGGGGGGAGGGGGTCACTGCTGGTTGGGTCCCTCTAGCAGTGTAGTCTGCTCTCCCCTGACCTTCAGCAGAAGCTTCCATGGGTGGACATCATGGTGAGAGAGAGAAGGGGGGGTTCACTGCTGGTTGGGTCCCTCTAGCAAAAGCTTCCATGGAGGACATCATGGTGGAGGAGAATCTGGAGAATTTTGATGGATGAAGACAGAGCTGGGACAAGGTCATCCAGCACTCAGGGCCAAAATTCCAAACTGCCCCCGCCCCTCATGCCCGCCTCATGTCCTGGCCCTGGATAAAGAAGACTGCACATGAGAAGTACATCGGCTGGTAGAGTGTCCTCTGCTGGATGAATGTCGTAAATGTGGACTTTTCTGATGGAACATCTCAGATTACCCGGATCAGAAATGGGAATGTAATAAAAAGCTATAACAAATAAAGATACAATATATATATATATATATATATATATATATATATATATATATATATATATATATATAGTATATAAAGAGTTTTTGTCAGCGCTCCAGGGTATGACCAGAGGTATGTGACTGACACAGGGAAACGCAGACTTCAGATATGTTATAAACAATATAATTTATTAAAGACTAACAATACAAACATAAACGCAGTGCAATACTAAAACATAACACAGTGCAAACGAACCAAACGACCCACAGATAATACATACAATGCAAGCGTCGTCAGGCAGGCCGGGTCAATAACAATCGGGCAGGTAGGTACAGGGGGGTCAGGCAGAGAATGGTCGGGGTCACAAGCCAGGGATAAAGCAGGAGAAGTCAGCAGAGGTCCGGATCAGGCAGGGTCGGCAACAAATCAGACAGAGACAGGAACAGGGATGCAGGAACAAGATACAGGGCCCAGGAAAAACACACACCAAGGCAAAGACTGCAGGTCTGGCCATCATTTAAATACACCTGCCTAAGCAGTTTCAGGTGTTTGGCTAGCTGCAGGGTTGAGTCTCTGATTGCTGGGAGCACCCGCTGGCCAGCCCTGGTACTGCAGCCCACAAGGCAGGTGAGTCCCACCATTACTGGCAAGTCCATTCCTAACAGTTCTATTGTTTGTAAGGGAGGAGCTTGTATTCACACGCCCAGAGAGGGAGGAGCTTGTATCCACACACCCAGAGAGGGAGGAGCATGTAGCCACACAGTGAGAGGAACACAGACCAGACACCACCGGGGGGCGCTCACCTACACTGAGAAAAAGGCCAGGCACCACCAGGGGGGCGCTCCCCAATACTGAGAGGAAACACAGACCAGACACCACCGGGGGGCGCTCCCCCATACTGAGAGGAGTACAGACCAGAACCACCAGGGGGGCGCTCCCTCATACTGAGAGGAGTACAGACCAGACACCACCAGGGGGGTGCTCCCCTATACTGAGAGGAGTACAGACCAGATACCACCAGGGAGCGCTCCCCCATACTGAGAGGAACACCGACCAGACACCACCGAGGGGCGCTCCCCCATACTGAGAGGGACACAGACCTGACACCACCGGGCGGCGCTCCTCCATACTGAGAGGAACACAGACCTGATACCACGGGGGGTGCTCCCCCATACTGAGAGGAACACAGGCCTGACACCACCGGGGGGTGCTTCCCCATACTGAGAGGAACACAGACCTGATACACACGGGGGGTGCTCCCCCATACTTAGAGGAACACAGATCTGACACCACCGGGGGGCGCTCCCCCATACTGAGAGGAACACAGACCAGACACCACCAGGGGGCGCTCCCCAATACTGAGAGGAGTACAGACCAGACACCACCAGGGGGTGCTCCCCCATACTGAGAGGATACAGACCAGACACCACCAGGGGGCGCTCCCCAATACTGAGAGGAGTACAGACCAGACACCACCGGGTGGCGCTCCCCCATACTGAGAGGAACACAGACCTGACACCACCGGGGGGTGCTCCCCCATACTGAGAGGAACACAGACCTGACACCACCGGGGGGTGCTCCCCCATACTGAGAGGAACACAGACCTGACACCACGGGGGGTGCTTCCCCATACTGAGAGGAACACAGACCTGATACCACCGGGGGGTGCTCCCCCATACTTAGAGGAACACAGATCTGACACCACCGGGGGGCGCTCCCCCATACTGAGAGTAACACAGACCTGACACCACCGGGGGGCGCTCCCCCATACTGAGAGGAACACAGACCTGACACCACCGGGGGGCGCTCCCCCATACTGAGAGGAACACAGACCAGACACCACCAGGGGGCGCTCCCCAATACTGAGAGGAGTACAGACCAGACACCACCAGGGGGTGCTCCCCCATACTGAGAGGAACACAGACCTGACACCACCGGGGGGCGCTCCCCCATACTGAGAGGAACAAAGACCTGACACCACCGGGGGGTGCTCCCCTATACTGAGAGGAACACAGACCTGACACCACCGGGCGGCACTCCCCAATACTGAGAGGAGTACAGACCAGAAACCGCCGGGGGGCGCTCCCCCATACTGAGAGGAGTACAGACCAGATACCACTGGGGGGGTGCTCCCCCATACTGAGAGGAACACAGACCTGACACCACCGGGGGGGTGCTCCCCCATACTGAGAGGAACACAGACCTGACACCACGGGGGGAGCTCCCCCATACTGAGAGGAACACAGACCAGACACCTCTGGGGCAGGGGCAGACTGACCATTCGAGCACAGCCCGGGGTCAGTAGGGGGCCCCATGAGATGTCCCTGGTACCTTTCATTGGCTTTTTTGGGTGTGGGTGAGGACACATTGACCCCATGATCCCCTATTGCCCGGGGGCCCCATGAGTTGTCAGTCCACCTATGCTCCGGGGGGGCACTCCCCCATACTGAGAGGAACACAGACCAGACACCACCGGGGGGGGGGGCACTCACATACACCACCAGGGGGCACACCGGCTGTCTTTCCTACCACTAGGACACTCCTTGGTTTTCCTTGCTGTTCATCAAGGAGCAGGGCTGCATGGAGTTATACCAAAGACTAAGAGATGATCAGAGCCAAGGACACTGGAGAGACCGTCCCGGACCTACCTCCACTCACAGGGTGGTCAGGAGGAATTTTTCATCAATAGGTATGGATGGCCATCCAAGGTAGGTTGTCTTTGAGGACTTTCATGCAACCTGTCCTGATACGGGCTCTGCCCACTGATACACCACGTCATGAACCTTCACACAGGACCTGCTGAGGGCCCCGGAACCAGAACTCAAAGACTTTGTACCACCGACAGCCATCCCCCACCGTTGGATGATGAGTGGGAGGTTTAGTGGTGTTGGTGCACAAGAAGACATTGATGGCGCCTGGCAGGGGATGTGTTCCTATATAAAGACTCCGTGGTGTGCCAGAGAGCATCTCATCCACCGGGAGAAGAGGTCCATTGAGGACTGTCATAGATCTACTCAGAGACTAGAACCTCATGGACTCTAAGGAGGAAGAGTTTCCCCTTCCCCCACTCTCCTTATGTATCTGTGTCCTTCAATAAAGCTTTGGGCCTTTGAGCTCTTTCCCCTCCCCCATCCCTCCTTCCTCTCCCCATCACACAAGGAGGTCCAAGTGGTCCATGGAGTCTGACCCTCTTGTTTTTGGTCTGAGCATAGATCTCTGTCTCAAGCAGCTTTGAAAATCACTCTGATAGGACCCAAAAGCTGGGCAGAGCCTGTGGGCACATCTACTCATGGTCTATAAAGGTGGCACCTGAAGAGGGGGTGCAGCCATCATAGTAGGCAGACAGAGGTTCCTGAAGTCCCTCCTCATCCCTCAGACCTTTCACCATTTTTGCTGCCATCTTTGGATTCGTTCTATCTTATCAATATTCTGGAACCCAGTATTCTAAATATCTACATGGAGGAATCAGGACCTCCTTCCTCCTGCCGGCGACCCCTCTAGTGATAGGATCTATATAGAGGAATCAGGACCTCCTTCCTCCTGCCGGGGACCCCTCTAGTGATAGATCTATATAGAGGAATCAGGACCTCCTTCCTCTTGCCGGTGACCCCTCTAGTGATAGGATCTATATAGAGGAATCAGGACCTCCTTCCTCCTGCCGCGGACCCCTCTAGTGATAGATCTATATAGAGGAATCAAGACCTCCTTCCCCCTGCCGGTGACCCCTCTAGTGATATAAGATCTATATAGAGGAATCAGGACCTCCTTCCTCCTGCCGGTGACCCCTCTAGTGATAGGATCTATGTAGAGGAATCGGGACCTCCTTCCTCCTGCCCGGTGACCCCTCTAGTGATAGATCTATATAGAGGAATCGGGACCTCCTTCCTCCTGCTGGTGACCCCTCTAGTGATATAAAGATCTATATAGAGGAATCAGGACCTCCTGCCGGTGACCCCTCTAGTGATAGGATCTATATAGAGGAATCAGGACCTCCTTCCTCCTGCCGGTGACCCTCTAGTGATATAAAGATCTATGTAGAGGAATCAGGACCTCCTTCCTCCTGCCGGTGACCCCTCTAGTGATAGGATCTATATAGAGGTGTATAGTGGTGTGCAGAGGGTTAATTCGGAATGTTCAGCTATTGAGCACAAAGACAGGAAGTGATGTCACTACAGACAGGCAGTTTGGGGGTAAAAGGTGAGCTGGGAGGAAGTAGAGAGGGGACATTGCTGGAACTAGCAGTGGAGGAGATAAATACATTTTAGCCGTTATGGTTTCTGGGATTCCACACAGGACGATGACTTCATCTTGGATCAGGTAGACGGGACTGAAGGTCTAGGATGTAAAGGTGACTCTGAACTGTATGAGCCGACGTTCCTCTATGTGGCTTCATTGTATGGATAATATTTCTGTTGATTTAGCTTGAAGAACTGATGGACATCAATGTGGTCAAAGAGGAAGAAGAAGAGTTGTATGTGAGGATGTGGTGATGGTGACAACGGAACAAGAAGAGTCTTCACTAAATCTCAGCACAGGTGAGTAATGAAACACATTTTCATGTTTCTTCTAGAGAGAATCGTGTTGATAGTTCAGGATACTCATAAAACGTTTGTAAACATTGTGGAACCAGTTGGTGGGGAGAGAAAGTCTATAGCTAATGAGAGGCCACATTGTCTGTGTGTTTCCTACAGATGGATCCAGTCATGGGAACCCACCAGAGAGATGTCCCCGTCCTCTGTATTCCCAAGATTCCACACAGGAAGGTCACACCATCCCTCACCATCATCAGGTAGATGGATCCAGTCATGGGAACCCACCAGAGAGATGTCCCCGTCCTCTGTATTCCCGGGATTCCACACAGGAAGGTCACACCACCCCTCACCATCATCAGGTAGATGAGGAACAATCACAGGTGGGAAAGGATATACTCAAGCTATTTAGTTACAATAAATGTTTGATTATAAATTTCTAGGGTGGAAACCCCAGGAATAATAATAATATTGTGCTTAAAGAGGAGTATGGAGTCATGGAGGAGTTTTCAGAAGGACACAAGGATATGATGGAGCCACCTAATACCAAGAACCCACCAGAGAGATGTCCCTGTCCTCTGTATTCCCAGGATTCCACACAGGAAGGTCACACCATCCCTCACCATCATCAGGTAGGTGGATCCAGTCATGGGAACCCACCAGAGAGATGTCCCCGTCCTCTGTATTCCCGGGATTCCACTCGGGAAGGTCACACCATCCCTCACCATCAGGTAGATGGATCCAGTCATGGGAACCCACCAGAGAGATGTCCCCGTCCTCTGTATTCCTGGGATGCCACAGGAAGGTCACACCATCCCTCACCACCATCAGGTGGATGAGGAACAATCACTGATGGTATCATTAGGACCTGTACATTATCTGCATTGTTACCATTGATGTCATTTTGTATTATATATTCAGAGTGGAAACCTGAGAGATTCTACAGTTGAGGTTAAAGAAGAGATAAAAGAGGAGGATGATGAGGATGGGGGTGATGGAGGAGTCTGAGCTTCTAAAAAAAACACAAAGATCTGTACCAGGACACCATGGTGAAGTCATCCAGCTATGGGAACCCACCAGAGAGATGTCCTTATCCTCTGTATTCCCGGGATTCCACACGGGAAGGTCACATCATCCCTCACTATCATCAGGTAGATGGATCCAGTCATTGGAACCCACCAGAGAGAGGTCCCTGTCCTCTGTATTCCTGGGATTCCACACAGGAAGGTCACACCATCCCTCACCATCATCAGGTAGATGAGGAACAATCTCTGGTGGGAAAGGTTTATACTCAAGCTATTTAGTTACAATAAATGTTTGATTATAAATTTCTAGGTTGGAAACCTCAGTAATAATAATAATGTGCTTAAAAAAAGAGTACAAAGAGGAGGATGAGGAGTATGGAGTGATGGAGGAGTTTTCAGAAGGACACAAGAATATGATGGAGCCACCTAATACCAGGAACCCACCAGAGAGATGTCCCCATCCTCTGTATTCCCGGGATTCCACACAAGAAGGTCACATCATCCCTCACCATCATCAGGTAGATGAATCCAGTCATGGGAACACACCAGAGAGATGTCCCCATCCTCTGTATTCCCGGGATTCCACACAGGAAGGTCACACCGTCCCTCACCATCATCAGGTAGATGAATCCAGTCCTAGATTGTAAGCTCGAAAAAGCAGGGCCCTCAATCCCCTCATGTTTTGCATTGTATTGTTCTGTCACGTTCTGTCCCCCTTTGTAATGTACAGCGCTGAGCGAACTATTGGCGCTTTATAAATACTGTATAATAATAATAATAATGGGAACCCACCGGAGAGATGTCTCTGTCCTCTGTATTCCCGGGATTCCACACAGGAAGGTCACACCATCCCTCACCATCATCAGGTAGGTGGATCCAGTCATGGGAACCCACCAAAGAGATGTCCCCGTCCTCTGTATTCCTGGGATTCCACACAGGAAGGTCACACCATCCCTCACCATCATCAGGTAGGTGGAGTTGAGGGTCGGGAACATAAAGTGATGGAACACTCTGACATGTGGAGATGATATTTGGACTCTACAAGATGAGATGTTCTAAGTCAGCGGTTCTCAACCTAGGGGTCGCGACCCCTTTGGGGGTCGAACGACCATTTCCCAGGGGTCGCCTAAGACCATCGGAAAACACATATTTCCGATGGTCTTAGGAACCGAGACACCGCTCCTCCATCTCAGGCGATGTGTGGGCGGGATGATACGCTGCTCCTGTCACCTGGCCACACCTCCGGGATCGCTCAGCAGCTCCGCCTCCTCGCCGCTGATTGGCCACCGGAACTGTAGCTCAGGAGAGGCACACAGGCGGCCAATCACCGGCGAGGAGGTGGAGCTTGGAGAGGAGGAGCCGAGCGGCAGCGCGCGTACATCAAAGAAGATCGAGGGAGCTGCCGGAGCGAGTGAAGAGGAGAGCGGCCAGAGAAGGAAGACAGCTGACAGGTAAGTGAGAGAGCGAGCCCAGGCTGGAGCAGGGGTCAGCAAAGTAAGTATCATTGGTGTCAGTGGGAGGAATGGTGCCCCATCATTTGTGTCACTAATACCAACGATGGGGCACTATTCCTCCCCCCACTGACACCAACGATGGGGCACTATTCCTCCCCCACTGACACCAACGATGGGGCACTATTCCTCCCCCCACTGACACCAACGATGGGGCACTATTCCTCCCCCCACTGACACCAACGATGGGGCACTATTCCTCCCCCCACTGACACCAACGATGGGGCAGTATTCCTCCCCCCACTGACACCAACGATGGGGCAGTATTCCTCCCCCCACTGACACCAACGATGGGGCAGTATTCCTCCCCCCACTGACACCAACGATGGGGCAGTATTCCTCCCCCCACTGACACCAACGATGGGGCAGTATTCCTCCCCCCACTGACACCAACGATGGGGCAGTATTCCTCCCCCCACTGACACCAACGATGGGGCAGTATTCCTCCCCCCACTGACACCAACGATGGGGCAGTATTCCCCCCCCACTGACACCAACGATGGGGCACTATTCTCCCCCCCCCACTGACACCAACGATGGGGCACTATTCCTCCCCCCACTGACACCAACGATGGGGCACTATTCCTCCCCCCACTGACACCAACGATGGGGCACTATTCCTCCCCCCACTGACACCAACGATGGGGCACTATTCCTCCCCCCCACTGACACCAACGATGGGGCACTATTCCTCCCCTCCACCCACTACTGACACCAACGATGGGGCACTATTCCTCCCCCCACTGACACCAACGATGGGGCACTATTCCTCCCCCACTGACACCAACGATGGGGCACTATTTCCCCCCCCCCTGACCCCAACGATGGGGCACTATTCTCCCCTCCACCACACTGACATCAACGATGGGGCACTATTCCTCCCCCCACTGACACCAACGATGGGGCACTATTCCTCCCCCCACTGACACCAACGATGGGGCACTATTTCCCCCCCCCTGACCCAACGATGGGGCACTATTCTCCCCCCACCACACTGACATCAATGATGGGGCACTATTCCTCCCCCCACTGACACCAATGATGGGGCACTATTCCTCCCCCCACTGACACCAACGATGGGGACACTATTTTCCCCCCCCCCCCTGACCCCAACGATGGGGCACTATTCTCCCTCCCCCCACACTGACACCAACGACAGTATTCCTCCCCCCACTGACATCAACGATGGGGCAGTATTCCTCCCCCCACTGACACCAACGATGGGGCAGTATTCCTCCCCCCACTGACACCAACGATGGGGCAGTATTCCTCCCCCCACTGACACCAACGATGGGGCAGTATTCCTCCCCCCACTGACACCAACGATGGGGCAGTATTCCTCCCCCCACTGACACCAACGATGGGGCAGTATTCCTCCCCCCACTGACACCAACGATGGGGCAGTATTCCTCCCCCCACTGACACCAACGATGGGGCAGTATTTCCTCCCCCCACTGACACCAACGATGGGGCAGTTCCTCCCCCCCTGACACCAACGATGGGGCCTATTCCTCCCCCACAGACTGACCCCTGACACCAAGTGATGGGGCACACTGACAACCAACGATGGGGCACTATTCCTCCCCCCACTGACACCAACGATGGGGCACTATTCCTCCCCCCACTGACACCAACGATGGGGCACTATTCCTCCCCCCACTGACACCAACGATGGGGCACTATTCCCCCCCACTGACACCAACGATGGGGCACTATTCCCCCCCACTGACACCAACGATGGGGCACTATTCCTCCCCCCACTGACACCAACGATGGGGCACTATTCCTCCCCCCACTGACACCAACGATGGGGCACTATTCCTCCCCCCACTGACACCAACGATGGGGCACTATTCCTCCCCCCACTGACACCAACGATGGGGCACTATTCCTCCCCCCACTGACACCAACGATGGGGCACTATTTCTCCCCCCACTGACACCAACGATGGGGCACTATTCCTCCCCCCACTGACACCAACGATGGGGCACTATTCCTCCCCCCACTGACACCAAATGGGGCACTATTCCTCCCCCACTGACACCAACGATGGGGCACTATTCCTCCCCCCACTGACACCAACGATGGGGCACTATTCCTCCCCCCACTGACACCAACGATGGGGCACTATTCCTCCCCCCACTGACACCAACGATGGGGCACTATTCCTCCCCCCACTGACACCAACGATGGGGCACTATTCCTCCCCCACTGACACCAACGATGGGGCACTATTCCTCCCCCCACTGACACCAACGATGGGGCACTACTCCCCCACTGACACCAACGATGGGGCACTGTTACTCCTCCCACTGACACCAAGTGATGGGGCACTGTTACTCCCCCCACTGACACCAGTGATGGGGCACTGTTCCCCCCACTGACACCAACGATGGGGCACTGTTCCCCCCCACTGACACCAACCCCCCACTGACACCAACGATGGGGCACTGTTCCCCCCACTGACACCAACGATGGGGCACTGTTCCCCCCACTGACACCAACGATGGGGCACTGTTCCCCCCACTGACACCAACGATGGGGCACTGTTCCCCCCACTGACACCAACGATGGGGCACTGTTCCCCCCTGACACCAACGATGGGGCACTGTTCCCCCCACTGACACCAACGATGGGGCACTGTTCCCCCCACTGACACCAACGATGGGGCACTGTTCCCCCCCACTGACACCAACGATGGGGCACTGCACTGTTGGGGCACTGTTCCCCCCACTGACACCAACGATGGGGCACTGTTCCCCCCCCCCACTGGGGACACCAACGATGGGGCACTGTTCCCCCCACTGACACCAACGATGGGGCACTGTTCCCCCCACTGACACCAACGATGGGGCACTGTTCCCCCCACTGACACCAACGATGGGGCACTGTTCCCCCCACTGACACCAACGATGGGGCACTGTTCCCCCCACTGACACCAACGATGGGGCACTGTTCCCCCCACTGACACCAACGATGGGGCACTGTTCCCCCCACTGACACCAACGATGGGGCACTGTTCCCCCCACTGACACCAACGATGGGGCACTGTTCCTCCCACTGACACCAACGATGGGGCACTGTTCCTCCCACTGACACCAACGATGGGGCACTGTTCCTCCCACTGACACCAACGATGGGGCACTACTCCTCCCACTGCAAAATTACAGTTATGAAGTAGCAACGAAAATAATTTTATGGTTGGGGGTCACCACAACATGAGGAACTGTATTAAGGGGTCGCGGCATTAGAAAGGTTGAGAACCACTGTTCTAAGTGATCTCACATCATAAATCCTTCTATGTTACAGATGTTATTTTCTGCCATTCTGTTGGTTTAGGGTGAAGATCTGATGAACAAGAAAGTTGAGGGTGAAGTAGAAGAGACGTATGTGAGGGATGATCAGCAATATACGGAGGAGGCTGGAATGAGGAGGACATTCATAGAGGAGGACACTCCTACAGAGATCAGCACAGGTGACCAGAATATATTCTTCTCTTATCTCTGCTCTTTTCCTGCTCACTGATTGGTCCAGAGTGGAGTGGGTAGGGAGTGAAATCAGCAAATAATAGTTGTTAGAATGGTCACCTCCCAGTAGTGATACCGATCGATCTTCTTTCCTCTCCCTTGTGTTCTAGTAGTACAGATATGAGAACACAGACTGATTCTTCCTCAGGTCCGTTCCTCTTCTTCCCGCTGACCAGGGGCGGACTGATCATTTGGAAACTCGGGCACTGCCCGAGGGCCCAGGGTCAGTAGGGGGCCCCATGAGATGCCCCTGGTACCTTTTTCATAGGCTTTTCTGAGTTTGGGCAAGGACACGGGCCCCATGATCCCCTATTGCCCGGGGGCCCCATGAGTTGTCAGTCCGCCCCTGCCGCCGACTTATAACTAAATGTTACATGAAGCTTTGTGTACGGCCTTGGTGGGCTGAGAAAGTAGGAAGTACCCAAGGGAGTGACCCACGCATCTTGCCTGGAGAAAATGTTTCCTCCAGTGCTGCTCATTACCAGAAGCCTCAGCCTTTGACAACTTATCCTGATGATGAAGGGAGAGAGTCTGCCAGTCTGATGCCGGGATCTCATGACCCAGGGCCTAGACTTGTGGTTGTGTGAAGAGCATGCCCCCCACGCCCCAATTGGTTCCTGCTCCTCTGACAAAGCAGTGTAAATGTAGAAGTGATCTGGGAGGACCAAATGTTCTTTGAAAAGGGGAGGAGTCCCAGCTGGTTGGGACATGCACAGAGAACATATGCTCCCTCCTATCTCCCTGATCCAGATGGAATCTTGATGGAAGTGAACTAACTTTCTCTTATCTATTGATGATGTTTTTCTATTTTTCCAGGTCCCGCCATGGCGAAACCCTCAAAGGATCGTCGCACTTTATCTCCAGGTTGTAAAATGGAAGATGAGGACATTCCAGGAGAATGTGTCGGAGAAAAGACAATGAGCTCCACTATGGATGGTGGACTTCCCAGTGTGGAAAGACCATGGAATCCCTCTGACTCTGAGCAACCTCGTACTGTGGAGGATGGGTCCGGGATTCAAGAGGAGACATTTTCCTGTTCTGAGTGTGGGAAATGGTTTAGCTCTGAATCCACTCTTGCTGTACATCGGAGATCTCACTCGGGGGAGAAGCATCATTCCTGCCCTGTGTGCGGAGAATGTTTTCTAAGTAAATTTCATCTTAGTGTCCATCAGAGATTGCACACCGGTAAGAAGCTTCACTGCTGTCCCAAGTGCAAAAAATGTTTCCTTAGAAAATCAGAACTAGTCAGACATCAAAGATCCCACAAGGGTGAGAAGCCGTATTCCTGCCCTGAGTGCGGGAAATGTTTTTCTCGGAAGTCTAATCTTTCTGTACATCAGAGACTGCACACAGGTGTGAAGCCGTATTCCTGCCCTGAGTGCGGGAAATGTTTTATACGTAAACTATTTCTCATAACACATCAGAGGTCTCATACGGGGGAGAAGCCGTATACCTGTCCAGAGTGCGGGAAATGTTTTGTACGTAAACAACTTCTCCAAATCCACCAGAGGTCTCACACGGGGGAGAAGCTGTATTCTTGTCTAGAGTGCGGGAAATGTTTTTCACAGAACCCCATCTTTCTGAACATCTGAAATGCCATACTGGTGAGAAGCCTTATTCCTGCCTTGAGTGCAGAAAATGTTTTGCACGCAAATCACAACTTGATAAACATCAAAGATCTCACACAGGTGAGAAGCCGTATTCTTGCCGTGAGTGCGGGAAATGTTTTTCACAGAAGTCCCATGTTACCAAACATCAGAGAACCCACACAACCCTCGAGGTGTATTAGTGTCCTGAGTGCGGGAAATGTCTTCTATAGGGATGATATGTTGCCGTACATCAGAGATCTCACACTGGGAAGAAGCACACCTTGATATACCCCTCAGAAAACACGTGGCTGAGCGCTCCTCTGATCTTTATTATGGAAGAAACACTTTATAAGGAGATCAGAGATCACTAAAGACTTCAAAGTTGTGTCTGGCTTCCTCTACTAGGAAGGGGGGGTTACTGCTGGTTGGGTCCCTCTAGCAGTGTAGTCTGATCTCCCCTGACCTTCAGCAGAAGCTTCCATGGAGGACAGCATGGTGAGAGAGAGAAGGTGGGGGGGGGGCACTGCACCGGCTCGTAGAGTGTCCTCTGCTGGCTGACCATTGTAAATGTGAACTTCTCTGACGGAACATCTCAGATTACCCGGATCAGAAATGGAAACTTAATGAAAAGCTGATTTCTTAGTTTGGAACAAATAAAGATACAATATATATGTGTGTGTGTATGTGTATATGTATGTATATATATATACATACACACAGTATTTTCTGACGTATAAGACTACTTTTTATACTTAAAAATATACCCCAAAAATTGGGGGTAGTCTTATATGCGGGGTATAAAATGTGAACCTTGAGTTTGTTTGGGTCAAGCTGGCTGGATGTGTGGTAATACTGTACATAGAGTATACCGTGCTGAGCCAAGCTGGCTCAAAACAAATGTCCCTATGACAGAATAATCTGTCAGCCGGCTGGATGTGCGGTGTATATACAGTATACTGTGCTGAGCCAAGCGGTTTCAAAATACCGGTACCGGTACGTTCCTACTTTAATATATAGAGTATACCGAGTGTATATATAGTTTAATATATAGAGTATACATAGAGTATACCGTGCTGAGCCAAGCTGGCTCAAAACAAATGTCCCTATGACAGAATAATCTGTCAGCCAGCTGGATGTGCGGTATATACAGTATACTGCGCTGAGCCAAGCGGTTTCAAAATGTACCGGTACGTTCCTACTTTAATCAGCCCGCTGGATGTGTGTATGTACGGTAGCTGTGGCTACATACAGTATACACTGGGCCAATCACGGCAAATGATGTATTCTACTAATGAATACAAAGCCTGCTCGGATTGGCTGAGTCAGAGAGGTGGACTGATGATGTCACAACCTCAGCCAATCCAAGCAGGCTTTGTATTCATTAGTAGAATACATCGCTTGCCGTGATTGGCCAAGTGTATACTGTATGTAGCTGGAGCTACCGTACATACACGCATCCAGTGGGCTGATTAAAGTAGGGACGTACGGGTACATTTTGAAATAGCTTGGCTCAGTATACTGTCATAGGGACATTTGTTTTGAGCCAGCTTGGCTCAGCACGGTATACTGTATGTACTTTACTGCACATCCAGCGGGCTGTGTATGTATACTGTATGTAGCCGAAGCTACTGTATTACCGCACAGCCAGCGGTAACCATCTGATTTGGAATTTGATCCATATGATGACTGTCTTACAAATGTATCACAAGATGTCATTCATGAACTTATGATGTCAGAGGATGAACATGAGGATTTTGAAGGATTTTAAGTACCGGTAAGTCATAACCATTTCAATTAAAAAAATCTGATGTTTTTTAATGCTGTTGCCTCGGAAGGGGGTAGTCTTATACGGCGAGTATAGCCCAAAACCTATGTTTTTAACGGGAAAATTAGGGGGTGGTCTTATACACACAGTCGCCTTATACGCCAGAAAATACGGTATATATATATACAGTATTCCTAAAATAATTATATTGTTTGAGTTGATCGCGTGGAGGGGGAGGAGCATGTCTCTACACACCCAGAGAGGGAGGAGCATGTCTCTACACACCCAGAGAGGGAGGAGCATGTCTCCACACACCCAGAGAAGGAGCAATTCTTGGAAACATGGGCTGACAGAAAGGTAAGTCTAGATGTGTTAGGCGTACATGATGACCTCGCAGTGTCTGGGATCGCTGGAGCACAGGAGAAAAGTGGTTTCGGTGGACAGGTCACATGATATGAGGACTCCTGGGGGAGCGCAGGAGAAGGTAAGTAGAACTCGTCCCACTGCAAAAGGTAGTTTTGAATTTTTCCCAAAGTACAGCTTCAGTCAACCTCCTTCGTCTATATCATGCCAAGTTATTATATTTCAATGACTTGAGTTATGTAAGGTTCATACTCAGAAGACTTTCTCCGTGTGTCTCTGTTGGGTTGTCTCTGTGCTGACCAGGTTGTGGAGGAAATGTGTAGATGTGTCACCTTACAGATTGATTGAGACCATCACAGATCCCCATAAGAGAGGTTCCTCCACAAAGGTAAGGCCATGATGAGCAGAACATGGACTCCAAGCCTTTCTCCATGGGACTCTGTTGGGTTGTCTCTGTGCTGACTAATTTCTGCAGGAAATGTGTAGATGTGTCACCTTACAGATTGATTGGGACCATCACAGATCCCCATAAGAGAGGTTCCTCCACAAAAGTAAGGCCATGAAGAGCAGAACATGGACTCCAAGCCTTTCTCCATGGGTCTCTGTTGGGTTGTCTCTGTGCTGACCAAGTTGTGGAGGAAATGTGTAGATGTGTCACCTTACAGATTGGGACCATCACAGATCCCCAGAAGAGAGGTATCTCTACACAGGGGAGGTCATGATGAGCAGAACATGGACTCAAAGACTTTCTCTATGGGTCTCTGTTGGGTTGTCTCTGTGTAGATATGTCATCTTAAGAGATTGATTGGGACCATCCCAGATCCCCAGAAGAAAGATTCCCCCATACAAGGGAGGTCATGATGAGAATATGGATTCCAAGCCTTTCTCCATAGGTTTCTGCTTAGTTGTCTCTATGCAGACCAAGTTGTGGAGGAAGGGTGTAGATTTGTCACCTTACAGATTGATGGTCCCACATCACAGATCCCCAGAAGAGAGTTTCCTCCACACAGGGAAAGTCATGATGAGCAGAACATGGACTCCAAGCCGTTCTCTGAGTCTCTTTTGGGTTCTCTCCATGTAGATGTTTCACCTTACAGATTGATTGGAACCATCCCAGATCCCCAGAAGAGAGGTTCCTCCCCCCAGGGGAGGTCATAATGAGCAGAATATGGACTTTCTCTATGGGTTTCTGTTGGGTTGTCTCTGTGTAGATATGTCCTCTTAGATATTGATTGGGACCATCCCAGATCCCCAGAAGACAGGTTCCTCCAAACAGGTGAGATCCAAAATGAGCAGAACATGAACTCCAAGCCTTTCTTCATGTTTCTCTGTTAGGTTGTCTCTGTGCTGACCAAGTTCTGCAGGAAATGTGATGCGTCACCTTACAGATTGATTGGGACCACCACAAGTCCCCAGAAGAGAGGTTCCTCCACACGGGATGTTATGATGAGCAGAACATGGACTCCAAGGCATTCTCTACAGATATCTGTTGGGTTGTCTGTCTTGACCAAGGTGACATAGAACTGTGTAGATGTATCACCTTAGGGGTTGTTAGTAACAATCCTCCACATCAATGAGGTTAGGTAGAGCAGACTGTGGATTCCTCCTCCGGAGAGAAAAGCAAGAGAAGGGGGGAAGGGAGAAAGAAGAGCAGAAGAAGAGGGATAAGAAGAAGAAAAAGGAAGAGAGAGAAGAGAAGATGGAGAGAAAAAGGGAGGAGAGAAGGTGGAGAGGTGTAATGAACCACCTGGCGGTACCTCTAGCAACCCACGGAATAGGATTCCCCAGAGCGTGGAGTCTAAGTCCCAGTCTGCTTGTTCACCAGGGCCCCTGATGGTGGGGATGGACTTGGAGCAGACAGAGACCTGAGTACACCCACCCATGGTAGAGGGATCCGCCAGAGGTATCTGCAGGATGAGAGCCTGTTGTGAAGAGGTGGATGGGTCCGAGCAGGATGGATGGATGGCTGAGCAGAAGTGTGGTCAGACAGGCCGAGTCGGTAACCGTGGGGACAGCGCCAAACAAGGCAGCAGGCAGAGAATAGTCAGGTCACTCGCCGGGTCAGTAACGGAAGGTCAGATCCAATGAGGGGCATCCAAAAGAGAGGTCAGGCAAACCAGGGGTCAGAGCAGGAGAATACAGCATGGTCAGGAACAATCCGGGTCAGCAACGATCAATCAGCACAGATACAGGAGCAGGAACAAACAGAAGAGACCATACGGCAACCAGTGTCAGCGCAGAGCGGATT